CATCCATCCATCCATCCATCCATCCATCCATCCATCCATCCATCCATCCATCCATCCATCCATCCATCCATCCATTACATTACATTACATTACATTACATTACATTACATTACATGATATGATATGATATGATATGATATGATATGATATGATATTATATTATATTATATTATATTATATAACATTACATTATACTATATAATATTTTTTGATTTTTGGAGGGTTACCAGTCTGCAGTCAGTCAGGGATCCCTGGTCCCCTGGCTAGAACAGGGCAATCCCAAAAAATACATAATGTTATTTGAGTAATTATATCACTTAAAAAGCCTTCCTCTTCGGCTTATACTGTTTTTCTTTTTAACCCTTAGTCATTTCCACTGTACACGGTGGGAGCAGTGGAGCTGAGTGGATACATAAACGCCAGATGTTCCTGCACAGCCAGAGCAACACAATGGTGTTAGGTGGCGTTGCCACAAAGTTTAAAACGTTTAATTTCATTAAGGCTGCATGGATGTGTAAATATGTTCATATATTTATTAGCAGGTGGTTTGGCAGAATCTAGTCCGACTTCAGTTTTCCATCCATTTTCATTCACCGAACGGGATTTGGAGGAGTGCCTATCTCCAGCCGTCTACAGGCAAGAGGCGGGGTCCACCCTGGACAGGTCGCCAGTCCAACACAGGGTAACACAGAGACAAACAGGACAAACAACCATTCATGCACACACTCACACCTAAGGGGAATTTAGAGAAGCCAATGAACCTAACAGTCATGTTTTTGGACTGTGGGAGGAAGCCGGAGTACCTGGAGAGAAGAATCCATGCATGCTCTGTGCAGAAAGACCCTGGGCCTGGAATCGAACCCTGCTGCAGTGCTACCCACTGCTCCACTGAGCAGCCCGTCTTCAGTGAATTATTTGGAAAATGTTCTACTTCAATCATTTTCCTGTTGGTACAGCTGGATCAGTGCAAACTGACCCTGTTAGACCCCAAACTGAGTGCTTGTGATAGCTGAGAATATGCGTCCTTCAGTGTGAACTGAAACTGTCCCCCTCTTCTCTTCAGCCTCAGTGGAGGACTTTCAGACATGAACATCCTGTTTCAGTTTACGCCACCGGAGCTCAGTGAGACTAAAGTCCTCACTTTGACTAAAATGCTCTGGAACCTTCTTTAGTTTTCAGCCAAATGTTCCCCTTCAGGAGCCCCCTTTTTGGTTCCTTATTATACAAACTGAACTGATGTTATTATTTGATGACAGAAAACAGAAGAAAAACTTTATTAATTAAATCAAAGATTGTCTGACATATAGCCTATATGATATAGGCTAGTTTAATTCCCAACCACACAGAGAATTATCAATAGAATTAGCATCTGCCTTGTTTCTCAGCGTGTGATAAAAACACAGGGTGTCATTTCCACTTTGATGATAAATGGTGAATGAATGAAACCGTGTAGTAATGCTGTGAACATGCAGCCACTAGAGGAAACCACTGGAAGTTTCCGAGCAGTTTGCAGTCAGAAGCTCTTTGCTGTTCCAGGAACTCCACCTGTGGTTCAATTTAACTCTTAAAACAACTTTTCTATTTACCTTTCCTACTTTTAGACTCCAGTTCACACTTCTACAAGCTCTACCATGCAAATACTAAAATGGACTCTGCACCCCCTAAAAGAAAATCAGCCATGGATTGTTTTGCTTCATATGCAAAGTTTCTCTGTTGATGTTTAAACGCTGTGCCGCACCCTGAGTATCGCCCTGCAGAGCATGTGTCTCTGACAGATAATCCCTGGCAGGGCAGGAGCTACATTACTGCTACCAGACATACCCTGATACAGACTTTGTCTGCAAGGAGTTGGTGATTTAAATAATAAAAATATAATGCTTTCTGTTCCTCAGTGAAAACAGGCAGTGCTCTCTATGATATAAACAGAAAGTGTAGTAGATCCTCAGGGCCAGAAAAGAGCAACTGGAAAATGAAACCCCTGTTTATCAGATTCTAAACATGATAGCTAAAAGTTTTGTATGTTTGTTTTTTAGGGAACCATATCTGTAATGTTCAGGCCTTCTATCAGAGGCTCTAATAGGTGGAGTTTGCTAAACTCAGCTGGTACTTTAACTGGAAACGCCAGAAAAGACTGAAAATGCAAAAAAATAAACAATACTATTAGCACAATGCTGGTGATGATTCTCAGTCATCCAGGTCAGAGTCATTCCAAAAAAAGTTAAAAACAATCAACTGGACTTTGGTTCCAAGATTGTAGACGTTTTGCTTCCCATCCAGGAAGCTTTTTCAATTCAAAATGTCGGAATTAGCGTTAAAGTTGTAAGTCATATTTAAATGTCAATCATTCTGGGTTAAATATGTAATAAAATGTACTTTTTATCAGTGCCA